ACTCACGGACCGCGAGATCGTGACCTGGCTGAAGTCGGCCGCCCAACCGACTGCGCCACCCAGGCGCCCCAACCTCATCCTTTTAGAGTATACAGTTATAATTCATTAGCTGTGCGGTCACCACTGCTACCTAATGCCATTTTCATTGTGCCCCAAAGAAGCTACGTATCTACCAGCAGCTGCTCTCCACTCCCCCATCCCTGGCCTGGCCACCCCTAATCTACTTTCTAACTGTTTAGATTTGTCTGTTTTGGATAGTTCATACACATGGAATAGTGTAATATGTGACCTTTAGTTATCAGCTTCCTTCACTTGGCATCGTGTATTTAAGGTGCAGCCATGTTGTGACAAGTAGGTGTGTTGTGATGTAGTTGTGACATGTGACATTCATCTACATGTGACATTCATTCTTTATCATGGCTGAATAATACTCCACTGTATGGATATATGCACTTTGCTTATCCCTCCCTCTGCTGATGGACCTTTGGGTTGTTTCCACTCTTCGGTTATTGTGATTAATGCTGCTGTGAACACCTGTATACGACTTTTGTGTGTGGACGTACATTTTCAGTTCCTTTAGGTACATACTTAGGAGTGGAATTGCTTGGTCGTTTGGTAGTTCTATGTTTAACTTTTTGAAGAACTGTCAGGCCTTTTTTTTAATGTTTATTTTTTTATTAAAAAAATTTTTTTAATGATTATTCTTTTTTTTTTTTTTTAATTTTTTTTTTCAACGTTTATTTATTTTTGGGACAGAGAGAGACAGAGCATGAACGGGGGAGGGTCAGAGAGAGAGGGAGACACAGAATCGGAAACAGGCTCCAGGCTCTGAGCCATCAGCCCAGAGCCCGACGCGGGGCTCGAACTCACTGACCGCGAGATCGTGACCTGGCTGAAGTCGGACGCTTAACCGACTGCGCCACCCAGGCGCCCCTTAATGATTATTCTTGAGAGAGAGAGAGAGAGAGAGAGAGACAGAGTGTGAGTGGGGGAGAGGCAGAGAGAGAGAGAGGGAGACACAGAAACTGAAGCAGGCTCCGGGATCTGAGCTGTCAGCACAGAGCCCGATGCGGGGCTTGAACTCAGCGAACCGCAAGATCATGACCTGAGCTGAAGTCGGAAGCTTAACCAACTGAGCCACCCAGGCGCCCCTAATGTTTGTTTATTTTTGAGAGGGGGAGAGAGAGACAGGGAGAGAGAGAGAGAGAGAGTGTGAGCAAAAGAGGGAGGGAGGGGGCAGAGAGAGAGAGGGAGACACAGAATCTAAAGTAGGCTCCAGGCTCTGAACTGTCAGCACAGAGCCCTGTGTGGGACTTGAACTCCTGAGCTGTGAGATCATGACCTGAGCCGAAGTTGGATGCTTAACTGACTGAGCCACCCAGGTGCCCCAAGCCTTTTCCAAAGAGGATGCGCCATTTTATATTTCTATCAGCAATGTAGTGGGCTTCTGATTGCTCAACATCCTCCGTAATACTTGTTAGTAGCCATCTTTTTGATTATATCCATCCCAGTAGGTTTTGATTTGTGTTTCCCTTAATGACTAATTAGGGATGTTGTGCATCTTTTCAAGTGCTTATTGCCACTTGTATCTTTTCTTTGGAGACATGTCTGTTCAGACCCTTTGTTTTCTAGTTCTTTATGTTGAAGATGCAAGTCTTTTATCACATATGTGATTTGCAAACATCTTCTTCCATTTTGTAGATTGTCTTTCTATTTCCTTGAAGCTGTTCTCTGAAGCATAAAGATTTTGATGAAGTCCAGTTTATCTGGTTTTTCTTTTGTCGCTTGTACTTTCGGTGTCCTATCTGAGAAACCATTGCCTGATCCAAGGTCATGACGATTTACGCCTGTTTTCTTCTAAGAATTTTGTAGTTGTAGCTCTTACATTGAGGATTTGATCCAGTTTGAGTTGATTTTTGTACCTGGTGTAAATAGTGCTAGGTAGGGGTCCGTTTTCATTCTTTTGCATATAGATACCCAGTTGTACTGGCACTGTCTTTGAAAAGTTTGTGGTTTCTCCGTCGCCTTTCTGGGCAACCTTGTCCAAAATCAGTTGTCTGTAGATAGGTGTGTTCATTTCTGTGCTCTCAATTCTGTTCCATTGATCTATATGTCAGACCTATGATGCCAATTGGACCTTGACTTTTGAACCCCACGTTTCCTGGATGAGCAGGTAATGTCACGGTTTGACTTGTGGCAATTCCCCTTACTTCTAGGGTTGGGATTTGCCCCAGCCTTGGGCCTGACAATACTTCATTATCTAGTTGTTTCTTCAGTGCTGTTAGGATGATGTTCTATTGATGTTACCCAGCGTGTTTTCACTGTTTTCAGCAAGAGTCACTTCTAAAAACCTAACCTATCAATATAAAAAAATGGAATTCAAAATCATTTATGTCTGTTTATGAAATTTGGGGCAGTGTATCGCGGAGACAATTTTGGGAAGCCGAGAAATGTTTCATGGCATCTTAACAAAAGACCACTCTGTTGCTTTTAAAACCAGCTTCATTAATAGCTAATAATAGTGGCTTTCACTAATTGAACACTTTTTCTGTCCCAGGCTTTCTGCTGGGGGCATTACATATATTCTTTAATCTCATTAACACAACAAACCTAAAAGATGACTGGAATGAGGAAGCTGGGACTCACGGGGTTCTGAGATTTGCCTGAGGACACACAGCCAAGATAAGCCCAGTCTGACCCTGACCCAGGTCCTTGACTCCAGAGCCAGGCTCCTGTCCCTTGGGGCACCCCTTCTTGTCCTAGTTTCACATTCTTCTTTTACAAAAACTGGAGCACATCAAGGACGGAGTTTTGAACCGGGACAGGCGGGAGCTCTCTGGAGTTTTCCAGTTTTAGGAATCGCTGGGAAGCCCCTTTAGAACTTCTGACTACAGAGTCCGGCACGCCAGACGGAGCCCGGAGCCCAGACGGGAGGTGTTCACAGGCCCCTGGGGAGTTCCGGTGCAGTTGGTCTTGGACCACACTTAGAGCAAAGCTGGTCTCCAGGTTACATTATAAATCACTGGATATTGTGGACCTGTTGCTTTCTCCTATTTCCTGTTATTGAAGGCAAATTGATGTGTTTCCATGTCTGGAGAATGGCCCTTTCCCCTTTCAGCTCCTTGAAAAGTGGTTGGGACCTCAATCGCTTTTATTTATTTATTTATTTATTTATTTATTTATTTATTTATTTTTTAACGTTTATTTATTTTTGAGACAGAGAGAGACAGAGAATGAACGGGGGAGGGTCAGAGAGAGAGGGAGACACAGAATCTGAAACAGGCTCCAGGACAGAGCCCGACGCGGGGCTCGAAACTCACGGACTGCAAGATCATGACCTGAGCCGAACTCGGACGCTCAACCGACTGAGCCACCCAGGCACCCCCTCAATTGTTTTTAAAAGAGAGGATTGTATTTAGTACTTTGGAAGCCTTGTTGTCCGGTGGAAACAAGAATGTTCGAGCCCAAGCCACTTTGATGTTAATAAAATGCGATATCCAGTAACTCATTATGTTTGACTGTAATTTAGTGGTGGGAGTGGAAGGGAAAAGTAAAGTATCAGGTTATTTTAGAGAAGAACAATCTCACCCTCTCTTTGTCTTCCTCCTCCTTCACCCGTGTATTCTCAGATCGTGAAGTGGTCCGACTGTTGTTTGCCATTAGCTTGCAGACCTGGGGATCCTTACCAATTAATCGCTGAAGCAAGTGTGGACAACTTCAGCAAGCTGGGGGTGGCGTTCATGGAAGATAGACTCCAGATGGCTGATGGACTGGTACCCCAAAAGATCGTTTGTAAGTGACTTTAGAAATGTTTCCATCAGGGGTGCCTGGCTAGCTCAGTTTTAAGAGCATGATACTCTTGGTCTGTGGGTCATGAGTTCAAGCCTCAGGTTGGGCATAGAGATTACTTAAATAAACAAAAACTTAAAAAAAAATGTTTCCATCATAGCCATTGGTTATTAGCTTAAGGACTGTTGAGCACTCTTGTGCGGTGTGGCTTAAGGTCGATGCTTATCTTTAATGCATTAAATGGGTTGGATATAATTATAATAGAATGAGGTTCATACACGTGTCAGGTTTTTTGGAGGTGTCTTTAATTTTTTAAAATTGATTTTACTTAATTGTTTTTTAAATGTTTGTTTATTTTGAGAGAGAAAGCACGTGAGCCAGCATGGAAGCTAGCACACCGGGGAGGGGCAGAGAGAGTGGGGAGAGAGAGAATCCCAAGCAGGCTCCGTACTGTCTGTGCAGAGCCCGACGCAGGGCTTGATCCCATGAACCTCAAGATCATGACCCAAGCCGAAATTGAGAGTCACGCTCAACTGACTGAGCCACCCGCCACCCCCATTCTAAATTTTTAAACCAGGATTTCCCATAATTGCACTGTCCATGAGATGCTGTGCAAATGTAGAAGCCATATAATATTTGTTTCACACAATCTAAAAAATATAACTAGTTTCTAGACTGTAGTTCGACTGAATGGAAAGCATAGCCAGTGTTACTATAAAGATATAAATCTAGGAGTTTTTGACTTAAAAAATATATATATTACAATATATTACAATATATATTACAATATTACAAAGTCTTTTTTTAGGAAACATGCAAAATGTTTTTCCTTAATTGGGCTTAAAAATTGGGTTTCTATGTCCATGAAAGCCTTCATTTGTATCCTGAGCAAATGTGTATTATTAGCTCCGGAAATCTGTGTAAATTACTTAATTTTCCCATTTGGCATGTGCATGCGCCTGATACCATGTCAGATGTGTAACAAGTGCTCAATAAATGCTTAAAAATTCTTTTTAATATGTCTATTAATGTTTATTAATTTCTGAGAGAGAGAGAGAGAGAAGGAGGGGGAGGTGCAGAGACAGAGGGAGACACAGAATCCAAAGCGTGTTTCAGGCTCTGAGCTGTCGATACAGAGCCCCATGCGGGACTTGAACCCATGAGCTGTGAGATCATGGCCTGAGCTGAAGTTAGATGTTTAACTGACTGAGTCACCCAAGCACCGTTTTTTTTTTTTTAATGTTTAGTTTTGAGAGAGACCGCATGAAGTGCCGGGAGAGGGGAGGACAGAGGATCCGAAGTGGGCTCTTAGCTGACAGCAGCAAGCCCGACGCGGGCTTGAACTTATGAACTGCAGAGATCATGACCTGAGCCGAAGTTGGACTCTTAACCGATTGAGCCACCCAGGAGCCCCATCAATAAATGTTTTTTTTTTTTTTTAATTTTTTTTTAATGTTTGTTTATTTTTGACACAAAGACAGAGCGTGAGCAGGGGAGGGGCAGAGAGAGAGGGAGACACAGAATCAGAAGCAGGCTCCAGGCTCTGAGCTGTCAGGACAGAGCCTGACGTGGGGCTCGAACCCACGAACCTTGAGATCATGACCTGAGCCCAAGTCGGACGCTCAACCGACTGAGCCACCCAGGCGCCGCAATAAATGTTTTTTGAATCAGAGATTGTAAACTTCTATTTCAGTCCTGAGATAAGATACTGCAAAGACTCTTCTCCCCCATGGATCCTGTGAAGTGTCCCAAGAGCACCTGCTGCCTGGGGTGTGCTTGGACCCACTAGATACAGACCTATTTTTGTTTCTTAGTTTCATTCTCTTACAGGAGATGGATGCCCAAGAAATTGAATCTGTAAGGAAGTAGGCCTGATGACCTCTCTGATTCACATGGGACAGGTGTTGTGGAAACGCGGGGTTTCACTGGGAGGGGGTCATCAGGCGCCACCCCCTCCCGCCCCCCCCCAGCAGCAGGAGCAGTGACTTGGATCCAGAGGATGCCACAGAGTTGTGGTGGGGACATAGGTGGGACTGGCAGGGGGCTGCCCTGAAGCGAGAGTCACAGAGTGAGGAGAGCACCATGCAGTCTTGAACTGAGCTCTGTGACAAACCAGAAGCGTTGATGGGCTGTGTGTTCTGTTTGTATTTTAGCAGTGCACTTGCAGGACTCCACTCTGAAGGCACTTAAGGATCAGGCCTCAAACAAGCAAGCTCAGATCCTACAGCAGAATCCTGAACCTTCCGTTGAGAGTAAGCCTGAGCCAGACGTTATGGAGCACGTTGGTGGAGATGACCTCAAGGTCCTTGGTGCACAACCCACAGAAGGGAAAGATGGTACCTCTGGCCGCGAGCCTGCTGGGGAGGGTGACGTAGGAGTGGGCTCCATCGAGCACTGTCACCTCCATCTGTCTAGTTGCCATGAGTGTTTGGAGCTTGAGAATAGCACCATTGAATCTGTCAAGTTTGCATCTGCGGAGAAAATTCCAGATCTCCCGTATGATCACAATGGCACTTTGGAGGATGTTGCTGATGACATCTGCCTGGACAGAGAAGGGAGGAAAGTCAACATCACGGGGAGGGCACCCAATATCCTCTTCTACATGGGTTCTGCCTCCCAGGAATCCCTGGGCAGGTTCCAGGAGGTCCGGTCCGTTCTGGCTGACTGTGTGGACACTGAGAGCTATACACTGTACCCCCTGTCAAGGGAAAGTGCTCTCAGAGACCCGTGGTCGGACAACTGTCTGTTGTTGGTCATTGCCACCAGGGAGGCGATTCCTGAAGATCTTTCCCAGAAATTCATGGCCTACCTTTCTCAGGGGGGGAAAGTGTTGGGCCTGTGTTCGCCCTTCACGCTTTCTGGCTTTCAGGTGACGAGCAAGAGTGTGCTGCGGGAGACAGTCCAGAACTTGGTTTTCTCCAAGGCTGACCAGACCCACGTGAAGCTCAGTGTCCTGAGCAGTGGCTATGTTTATGAGGAGGGCCCTGGGGGACAGCTCAGCCTGGGCAAGCTCCAGGGTCACCTGGAGAATGAGGACAAGGACAGGCTGATAGTGCAAGTGCCTTTTGGACCACGTGGAGGAGAAGCTGTTCTTTGCCAGGTATGGAGGCCGGCATCCATGTGATGACCTTTGGGGATCTCTGACTGAGAGCATGCTCTCTAAGGTCGCACACTGAAAGGCTCAGGAGTCTGTGTTCGTGGGGTGCTTTTTGATCCTTGCCTGGGAGTTTTTGCTGACGGGGAGTGGGTTTAGATGAGGGCTTTCCTGTCATTTGAATATCCCATTTCACCAAAATAGTCGTGATGGAGGGACATAGCAGCAGGTGTCATGGCCAGTTAGACTCCTGGTTAACGGAGGATTAGTCAGAAAATTCATTCCTGTTTTGATCTGTACTGGTATTACTCTTTCCAAAATATATTAGTTTATTCTTTTGTCTCAAAGCACAATATAATCGAACCTTTAGTTAATGTAGGGAGTTGAGTGCCTTGGGCTGGTGATTTTAAGTGTTAGTAACCATCACATTACAACATTATAGGTGATGCCAGGGACTACATGAATGAATGAATGCTCACCAACTTCTGGGGTAGTGAGTGTTGAAAACACTTCAAATCCTCAATTCTTTTATGATTCTGTCACTCTTAAAATCTAAGTGCTGAGAAAAGTTGCAAAGAGAATATTGAAGCGATTTAGTTTTGTGGCAAATTAATACAACCTACCCTCAAATAATACGGCTTTGGGGCGCCTGGGTGCGTAGTCGGTTAAGCGTCCGACTTCAGCCAGGTCACGATCTCGCGGTCCGTGAGTTCGAGCCCCGCGTCAGGCTCTGGGCTGATGGCTTGGAGCCTGGAGCCTGTTTCCGATTCTGTGTCTCCCTCTCTCTCTGCCCCTCCCCCGTTCATGCTCTGTCTCTCTCTGTCCCAAAAATAAAATAAAAAACGTTGAAAAAAAAATAAAAAAAAAAACAAACAAATAATACGGCTTTAAACTGTGTGGGTCCACTTGTGTGGATATTTTTGGTTAAATACAGTACAGTACTATAAATGTATTTTCTGTTTCTTATGATTTTCTCTCTCTTTCTGTCTCTCTCTTTTTTTTTTTTTTTTTTGTGAGAGAGAGGGAGAGAGAGAGCTCACGTTGAGTGTATGCGAGTGGGGAAGGGGCAGAGAGAGAGAATCTTGAGCAGACTCTAAGCCCAGTGCAGAGCCCGATGTGGGGCTCAATCCCATGACTCTGACCTGAGATCATGAGCTAAGCCAAAATCAAGAGTCAGACGCTCAACTGACTGAGCCACCCAGATGCCCCATGTTCCTTATGCCTTTCTTAATAGTTTCCTTTTCTCTAGCTTACTTTATTGTAAGAATAGAGTATATAATACATGTAATATACAAAATACATGTTACTTGACTATTTTATTGGTAAGGCTTCTGGTCAACACTAGGCTATAGGTTAAGTTTTTGGAGAGTAAAAAGTTATATGAGCATTTTCAGCTGCGTGGTAAGATTGGCACGCGAGCCCCCACATTGGTGAAGGGTCAGCTGTATGTAGGGAAGGAGACAGCGGGAAGGAAGGACTTGCTGTTTCCCTTCCCAAACCTTCCCTTTGGCTCATCTGCTGTTTTTTTTTTCCCCACCTTCTTTTTCCTTTTAGTTTTTTGTTTGTTTAAGCAGATGGAAGCAGGAGAGACTATTTCAAAATCCCTGATCATTTACCGCAAACTTTTTAATGCTTCAGGGCAGAAGTTTTTGATAGAGTTAGATGAACACTTGTTCTTAAGGATTTTTTTTTCTTTTTTTGAATGTTTACTTACTTTTGAAAGAGAGAGACAGAGACAGAGTGTGAGTGGGGAAGGAGCAGAGAGAGAGGGAGACACATAATCCGATGCAGGCTCCAGGCTCTGAGCTGTCAGCACAGAGCCTGATGTGGGGCTCAAACTCACAAACTGCGAGATCATGACCTGAGCTGAATTGGGATGCTTACCCGACTGAGCCACCCAGGTGCCCCTTTAAGGATTTGTTACCTTAAATGAGAAAACTGAGTGATTGTAGGTATTTTTCCCAGAATAGTTCCCAGGATGAGTATAACAGATTTTGTTTCATTACAGGGATGTTTTTATTGAATTAGATAATCATTTCCTTTTTTTGTTGTTTATTTTCATTTCATATGTCGTCCTAGGAGCTAAGTCTTTTGGGGTTTTCTGACCAAATATTCTTCATGGAGGTATAAATTTGTCTCTTTACTATTCCAAAGCCCACTCATTTGTTCTTAAGCTAATGCTCAGGCAAAGATGCCTGCAGTGAAGAAATCTGGACATCAGGGTAGGTGAATGTGTGCAAGCCAAGCAGGTTTCACGGAGGCTGCAAAGCACATGAATTAGTTTGGAGGCCTAATAAATGTTCCTCTTATCTTTTTCTCTGCAAAGATGGTAACTATAGCAACTGTGCATTCTCAGAAAATCCACTTAAAAACCTGACTTCCTAGAGCCGTATTTCAGTTTTGAATAGTGACTTTTACCACCCCTGTGCACAGACTTGTACTAGAAAATTGATTCGGCACCGTTGCGATGCATTTCTGGGAGTTACATGGCAACTCTGTTGGCTGCACCATTTAAATTGACCCCGTTACTGTCATAAAATTTGAAACTGCACGCATCGCTCTAGAAAAAAAGGCAATATGATGCAGCTTCAAAAATCAGATTCAGAGGATTAGAATGTCATTTTTGATTTTAAATGACTTCCAGTCTCTGTGTGACAGGCTCACCGCTTTCTCCTTGGGCCTGTGTCACTACGGTACCTCGCCACCGAGATCAGCCAATAAATGTTACCACAGACTGGCCAGTTTCCTCTTTCCTTGGTCAATTTCACAGTCTTCATCTCTAATAAATGGAGTAATGATGTAACCCAGTAAGAGGGTGCAAAGCACTTCAAGGGCAAACCACAGCCGCACAGTAGGTGGTGGTCTCATGGCCTAGGAGCTGCGTGGGGATGCCTTTACCCTTCATCGTAATAATAAATGGAGTAATGATGTAACCCAGTAAGAGGGCTCGTAATAAAGAAAAAGGAAATTTTCGTGTGCTTCCTATAATGATCAGGTTTGCAGGGGAAATTTAAGGCTGTGGGTTCATGCTGACACTTGATTATCAAATGGATCAGGACCTTGGCATGGAGTTGCTCAAGTAAATGTCTCTCAAATGGATTTAAAAATATTTTATTTCCTTCTGTGGCTTAGCACATGGCAGCAGTGGTATGGCGTTTACAGTGGGGTTTCTCAACCATGGCACTGTTGACATTGGGGCTGATCCTACCTCGTTGTGGAGTCAGTCATTCGTGCATTGTAGGGTGTTAGCAGTATTTCCCAACAGATTCCTGTAGCAGCCCCCACCCCCAACCCCGCCCCGGTCCTCAATTTGTGACTGGAGATGTTTTAGTTCTGGCTTTTGGTCTGGTCAGAAAGCCTTAATTTTAGAAGAAGCCAAGTTATAAAAATGGACCCATCAGTATGGTAACAGTATTCCAGCCAGAGGATGTAACATTCGTCAGATGCCATAGAGAACCAGGAGTGCAAATCCAGAAGCACATGCTTTTCTGTCCTGGGAACTGAGGCACAGAGCCCCAAATCTGTCATAGAAGCGCTGACTCTTGAAGTCCACAGAAGCACTCCTTGCACAATGTCTGTGTCACCTCCTGGAACCCTGGAGACCTGCCCGTGGGGCTAGCCCTCCTTGTCTTCCTCAGCGAGTTCAGCACACCTCACGTGTGTGCTTGGATCTTGTGTATATCACTCAGGCTGGGGTGTGCGTGTGTCATTCGTCACTCTCACGCCTTTCTCCTGGGCCCACTTTGCTCATTTTATTTCTGCACCTGTAAGGGGTAAGCTCCAGGAGAGCCGCGTGCTCACATGAGTTGAACGTGACCCACAGCTCTGCTCATTGCCCCAGCACTGGCTTTGTCCACTGGAGAGGAGAGGCCACATTTAAGGAGAGAACCCAGGGGAGAAGGAGACCCGGCAGGCTTTGGATACTTTGAAGGATTTTACTTTTCTCCCTCGTCTTCTCTCCAGGGCTCTTTGGAGGACAGACTCACCCCTGCTTCAGTGGCCAGCTCACCCGCTCTAGTGGCAGGACAGTCTCTACAAACCTTTTCAGATTGACATTGACTTTGAACAGTTGGACCATTTTGGACAGTATTTTTGACTTGGTGAAGGCTTGGGTGGGAATTGAGGGATTTTATATCATCTGAAGGCTGGCACTTTGCTTTTTATTTTCATAATGCTCCTATAATATCAGGTCAGGAGCTCTGCGTACAACAGAAACCTACAGCGGACCCCTGTCAAAAGCAAAATAAAGCAAACATGCTTAGGTTGCTCAATGTTGTGGCACCCTCCAAGGCTCTAAGGGCCACTTAAAATCTGATCTCAAGAGGGCCAGAAGTTCGAGTCTGTTCCTTTATACCAAGGCACACGCCACTGCTAGGAAAGTTCTAGGTGAAGGGAGCTAGAAGATCTAGCATGTTCCTTCAGACCATGTTGATAGTTGGGACTGGTTTGATTTTAAGTGGACAACAAAGCCTGAACTAGACAGATGAAGTCCTGAATCGTAAATTCAATCAGAGGGTCGTGGGTTGGGCCTTTCTGGGGTCCCTCAAACCCCACTCCTATGTGAAGGCCTGCAGACACTCTTACAATGGTGAATAAGGCTATATTCCTCCCTGGTATTGTTCCCCAGTGGTTGTGACTAACAGGTAGAGTGAGAGTTTCAACATGAACATCACGCCTCCCTGAGTTCAGTAGGGACTTCACTTGGGTTCTCAGCCTGATGGGATTTCTTTCTTTTTTTTCTTTTTAATGTTTGTTTATTTTTTGAGAGAGAGAGAGTGAGCTTGCATGCACACGCCAGGGGGAGGGGCAGAAAGAAAGGGAGACAGAGAATCCAAAGCAGGCTCTACACTGTCAGCACAGAGCCAGATCCGGGGCTTGAACCCACGAACCATGAAATCACCACCTGAGCCAAAGTGGGAAGCTCCACCGTCTGAACCACCCAGGCGCCCCAGAACTATTGTATTTCTAAGCATTTCGGTCGAATGATCAAGTTAAGCGACTTGCCCAGGATCCACTGCCTGGTTAGTGATAAATGTCTGGACCTGGACAGAGTCTGATCACTATCCAGGCTCCTTTCTGGCATCGCTTTTCTGCCTGACAGCCACCGTGTCAGTTGTCTCCTTTGCATCTTTTTATTGCTTGTCATTACTCTCCAAATGTTCAAGTTCAACATTTACATGCTGTTGATAATTAGGATTCCTGTTTTAAGTTTTCAGAAGAGCCGGCGAGGATATTGTTTCTATTGAGGTCGGTAAGTGCCCCAATTTACCAAGTAGTATCTTTTTCCCTCAGGCGCACTTAGAACTACCTCCCAGCTCTTCAGTGGTGCAAGCCCAGGAAGATTTTAATCTGCTCAAATCAAGCAATATGAGAAGATACGAAGTCCTTAGGGAGATCCTGACAACGCTAGGCCTGAACTGTGACCTAAAACGAGCTCCTGCCTTAACGCCTCTGTACTTACTGCCTGCTGCCGAGGTGAGTGTGTGCGCTCAGCCCAGAAGGGGGCGCCTTGGATGCCTTTCTTCCAGATGGTGACCCTTTTCCTCAGGGGTTCCGTTGCAGTGGGTTTATGGTGTTGATTTCTGTTTTTATTTTGACTTCAGATTTGGGAGCTGCCTTAAAGATATCCAAGTATAGCTGATATTTTTGGTGTTTGTTAAGGGAGGGAGGGAGAGAAGGGAGTTTAGAAGGTATTAAATCTTAAAGGTCACATCCTATCCATTTTATGGTTAAAAAAAAAGGGTCACTCTTTTATGTGTCAAGAGTGTATTTGGAAACCACACTTCATTCATTTGGGATTAAAAACCTCTGTTTTGATTTGGGCCTTTCTCAGTGAATATTTGGATGGGAAAACCCCAAGTTTTGTTTCATTTGTGCTGATGTCTGCCATCTTGTGGCGGAAGCGCTCTGGATTTCAGTTTAGATCTAGTTGTGTCTAAAAGGAAAATGCCCATGGAGCTGGGAATGTATTCAGGAATTTTCCCGGTCTTGTGTCTGCACTTGATGCCTGTGGTTGTTACCTGGTTTGGGCAGGTTGCCAGGTTCCCTAGGGGTGTCTCCTGCTAACCCCTTTGCTTTGTTTTGTCAAGCTGTCAATTTCTTGTTAATTGTGGCAAATGATTTTGCGGGTCTTTTTCTCATCTCCCGTAAATGGGGAAATTTATGAGTTTAGTGATGTAACCGTGCAGTTTTAGCAAATATCTGATAGTCCAGGTGACTCTAAACACCAAACTTACCTGCTTTCCCTTGTCCCCCATCTCTCTGTCCCCCCCCCACCCCCCGCTGCTGTGTGTGTGTGTGCGCGTGCGCGCATGCACACGCGCTCTCTCTCTCTCTCTCTCTCTCTCTCTCTCTCTCTCAAAAACAAACATTAAAAAAAATAAAAAAAGAGGAGGAACTCCCTTTTAGGTTATACTCTGTCCCTTGCCAAACTTAGTTTTCAGAGGAGAACAGAGCTGTAGGCTATCTGGGTGGGATTTGCTCACTTGTAGAAGACGGGTATAAACTCTGAGGGTTCTAGTATTAAGATACCTTATAGGATTGGGGCGCCTGGGTGGCACAGTCAATTGACTGGCTGACTTTGGCTCAGGTTGTGATCTCGTGGTTCATGGCTTTGAGCACCGCTTCAGGCCCTGTTGACAGCTCAGAGCCTGGAGCCTGCTTCAGATTCCGTGTCTCCCTCCCTCTCTGCCCCTCCCCCACTTGCGTGTGTGCTCACTCTCTTTCTCTCAAAAATCAATAAACATAAAAAAAATTTAAAGAGATAGCTTATAGAGTTGTATGAGGTCTATAAGAAAAAATTCCTACAAGAAATATGTGAGGGGTGCCTGGGTAGCTCATCGGTTAAGTGTCCGACTCTTGGTTTCAGTTCAGGTCGTGGTCTCATGGGCATGGGATTGAGCCCTGTTTTGGGCTGCATGCTGATAGCACCGAGCCTGCAGCCTGCTTCAGATTCTGTGTCTCCCTCTCTCTCTCTCTGCCCTTCCTCCGCTTGTGCTCACTCTCTCTCTCTCAAAAATAAATAAATAAACTTAAAAAAAAGTCCAGTGATTAGTAGTATTATTATTAGATTGTTGAGAGTTTTGATAAATTACATGTGTATAATGTGCCCAAAAGTACCTGCTGCCCAGTCTAAAAATAGACTATAGATAATAATTTTAAATTTTAAAAATGAATAATATTGCAATGGATGATGTTTTTTTTCATTTAAGAGACATTCTTTTATTGCATTTTCATTATGGCTTTCAGCCAGTTTGCACTCTTTTTATTTTATTAAAAAAAATTTTTTTTAACGTTTATTTATTTTTGAGACAGAGACAGAGCATGAATGGGGGGAGGGTCAGAGAGAGAGGGAGACACAGAATCGGAAGCAGGCTCCAGGCTCTGAGCTGTCAGCACAGAGCCCAACGCGGGGCTCGAACTCGTGAACCACGAGATCATGACCTGAGCTGAAGTCGGACGCTTAACCGACTGAGCCACCCAGGCACCCCAGTTTGCACTCTTTTTAATGGGTGCTCTTAGGAATTAATGATATGAGTTTGGTTTTGTGCCTTCAACTTGGGAATTCAAAACTCCACGTCATTTGTCTCTGTGTATTCAGTTAATAGAAGGAAAAGCATCAGCTCTGTCTTGTGACTTTTATCAAAATAAAGTGGGTCCTCAGAGCTTCAGCTCCTTTAGATGACCCACGTGTGGTCCCTCCTGCTTTGGGGGATGGGGCAGAGCCTCGTGGATAAGGGTTACTGGTCCCAGGGGAGATGTGACTGTCACTCTCCTAAATCTTCTCTGTCCCCCCTTTCCTGATCGTGGAGGGCTAAGACTGGAAATGTGAGGAAGTGCCTGCTTATTCTGAGATCATGGAGCCTGAGAGACCAGGCCTGCCCGTGTCAGTGGTCTTTGACCTTTCTCAGGAATTCTGACTGCACTGGCCTTGGGACTCGCCCCTCTGGACTCTTTGACTCTCGCCCCTCTGGACTCCTCAGTGAAGAGGAAAACGTGTTCCCAAGGTTTGGGTTCTAGGCATTTCCTGTGTCTTTAGGATGGGTATAGCCCGAAATACCTAAGCAGAGGCTTTGTGTTGCATGTCTGCTTATATTAACATACCCAGTGGATGCTTTGTATTTTTGTCCTTTTGGTTCTTTAAACCGCCTGCGGGTGTGGGGTAACCCTCATTCACAAATCTTGGGAATGAATGAAATGTTTGAACAAAATGAAAACATGTACTTGTTCTACATACAGATTCACAAATACCCTATACAGGCACCAAACCGACCAAGTTCCTTATTACATAGTAACTTTGGGGAAGAGCAATTTTCAGAAATGTTCTCTTCTCATTTTGGGTCATCCAGTTGGTCTGCTAATCCTGTGCATTACATTTTCTCCTGATTGCCTTTCTCTGAGTTCCTTTTTACTTTAGGAGCCCAAGGAGCTGAGGGAGTGGGCATATGAGTGTTGTGTATATCCACATTTCTTAGTTTTATTACTCTTCTAGAAGACTTTGAATCTGCTGCTAAAAGAAATACAAGAATTCAGGATGTTAGAGTATGTTTTCCTGGGATACAAAATCTTTAAGGGATTATCATGCAAATGAATATGAAAGCAGAAGGATATTCACCGACTTTGATGGTCTTTCTGGAGGCAGGTGCTCATTTCCTCTGGCCATCCTCTTAATGTCTAGGTGGGGACATTTAGGAACATCTGGTCATTGTGCCGGTGATGGCTCAGCACTTTTAGCTTTTACAGATAGTTGGGAATGACAGATTGGGAACAGAGCTGGGTCGTACTTTCTATTTGATTTTCTTTCCCGCAGCCTTCCTACTAGATCTCATTGATCCCCATGTAATGAAGGTGCGTGAGAGGATGTTGGTATCCTGGCATCTGTAATACACGGCCCATCCTTAGATTCATCACCTGCCTTGCAGATTCGATGCCTGTGCGGGCCTCTGCTTCCTGCTCCCTGTAAAATACTCTGTGCTGTTGAGAATCAACCACCTCTCACCGCACGGTGTCGCTGCTGAGCTAGGCTGCCTGGTGGACAGACTCCCTGGAATCTGTTCAGAGATTTTTTTTTTTTTCTCTGCGTCAGCTTCACATACTGTAGTAGTTTTCCATTCTATTGGTGGCACTTTCTTTTGGATGTGTAGGAATTATTTCAGTGCCACAGTTAATAATATCCATCTTCCATTAAACATTTGCTGGATGCTAGGTCCTATTACAGGATGGAATATGAAAGAAGAAAATAAACACACTAGTTATCTGAATAGTTTTACTGCGTACCAGCTGTGTTTACACAGTTTGGTGCCTAGGCCCTCGCTCTTCATAGCAAATGGTACAGAAGATTTATGAGGCACCTATGAGCTTCCACATTACTATGATACAAATGGAAAAGAATAGCATGGTGATCCAGGTAGGGGGAAAAAAAAAACCACTCACCCAGAGTACAGTCGACTCTTGGTGTTTGCTAGGGATGTGTTCTGAACCTTCACCAACACCCACACGCCACAGCAGCATGTGATTTCCCCTATAAAATCCAGTCATGTATGGCCTCAGAAGCGTCACCATGCATGACACCTTGAGGAAGCAGGGCTCCGCTGAGGTGCATTCTCTGGGTGAGCGGGGCTTCCCATTTAATTGAAACTCCCAGGGGCAGGATTGAAATTCAGCCCTCGGCAAGATTATGCTCTGTCAAAGCAGACAAAACACATGAACACATGTACACCACACACACACGTCTACAGAAAAAAGACTGAAAGGAAATACAGTATGTATAGGGCGTATTTCTAGATGGTGGGCTTAATTAGGGCTCATTATACTAAACTTTTGTGTTTTTTATACTTTCTGTAATGTACCTGTATTATTTTTATTAGGAACAAACCTGGTTACTAAAAATACATACAAATTACTGTTACTAGACTTCGAAGACAGCCCAAAAATGGTCACCACTTGAGTGTTAATGCTCAAAAAGTGAGAAAAGCCATTAACCAGGGACTGGTTCAATACCAAAATGGAAACATGCTTATGCACTACCATAAGTAATCACTGGTCCCAGTACATATTGTCTATTCCTGTGCTTAAATAGCTCCTCTTTCAAACTATAGAAGATGCTTTTTATGCGTTGTCCTAAGGCTGCCATACCTCAGTCCAGGTAGATGAGGGGATGGGTTAAATAGATGATGGGGCTTAAGTGATGAGCACCGGGTGTTGTATGTGAAGTGTTGAATGACTAAATTGTATACCTGAAACTAGCATTACACTGAATGTTAACTAACTGGAATTAAAAAAAAATTTTTTTTTTAATGTTTATTTTTGAGAGAGAGACAGAGCACGAACAGGGCAGGGGCAGAGAGAGAGGGAGACACAGAATCTGAAGCAGGCTCCAGGCTCCGAGCTGTCAGCCTGTCAGCACAGAGCCTGACGCGGGGCTCGAACTCACGAACTGAGATCATGACCTGAGTCGAAGTCCGACGCTCTACCGA